CCAAGAGTCTCCTGGAGCAGATCCGTTGGAACTGACAGATCTGCATTAGAAAATGCCTGTTTCCTTTCTCCTCACTCCCATGCCAGAGACCTGCTATTACCCGACTGTCTCAGACACGCTGGATACCACACATGTGGGGACAGCACTTCTCATTTAGCTAGTTAGAATTCCCAGCAGGGCTGTGGGAGTGAACAGTGAGCATCTTGCAAATGTTAATCAAACCCTTTGTGACTGGGGACATGGTCTCCATTTACTTTCCTGCAGCAGCTGTCCCTGCTGACCATGCCCTCTGCCCACACATCTCCTCTCTTCCAAGCCACACCTGAGCTGCTGTGGGAAGGCACAGAGGGAAGCCTAAGAAGTTACCTACACTCAGTGCCAGCCCAGAGTAAAGCACATATATGTGGTCATTATGCCCTTTAGAGCACCCAGGCTGTGGGAGTAAAACAAATCTTGCCAGTGACCTAATGAATCTCTGAAATCTGGCTATGGGGTAGATTTATTTACACATTTAAAGGGTGGGACTAAGATAGCCAGAATAGGGACATTTACATCTGAGCTTGTCACTATAAACTCCCTTAATAGGCACCTCTAAGACACAATTTATCTTGTTCAAATGCAATTAGACCAAAATAGGTCAAATGAATTGTGTCCTTGTTTCCCTTCAGTGAGAACAAAGGGAGTCTCATATAATTAATTCAGAAATAAAGATCTCTGCCATTGATATCTATGGATGGAAAAAGGGAATCCCACCTATGGGTTTAATTCTTCTGCTCCAAGCATCTGTAAGACAGGTGTCTACTATGTTCCTCCTATGACCAAATGGTAGGAATAGGCACTACCAGAAAGCTACCTAGCAAATGTGCCTGTCTGAGGATGAGGTAACTCACACCCTAGAAGTGCAAATTAGGTGTTTAAACTTAGGGAAGAAGAATCCTGTGCTGAAATGACAAGCGTCATATTCTGGTTTTGCCCTTAGCTCTGTAGCCTGATGACCATCTTATTTCAGGGTAAACTAGCACAGTGTGAAAAAGGAGGTATCTTCACTTTCTTTCTAGCAAAGAACAGAGAAAATGGATAGAGAAAAAATCTGATAGTTTAAAAATGCATACTTTTTTCCAAATGAAAAGTCCAAATTCCCCTCCTTTTGCAGACAGAAGAGGCTCTGCTCAGTTGCCCATACATAGGCCCCTAAAGACATTTGAGGCATCACAGGGTATTAGAGACCTCCATCAGGGCTGGCAGATGTGACACCAAACCTAAGGGATCCCCAAGCCTGCACTACCAATAGCCAAGTGCCAGAGTGATACTTTAGGACATCTCAAATGGCAACACAAATGGCTTTGCTCTTGCATCTCGCAGTTTGACTGCACCCACCACATTCCCATACTCTCACTTGCTTTCAGGTGCTAGTTGCCTTTCTCTCAAAGTCCTCACAGTTGCATTTAGAGCAGCTCCAATGAATCCTTATATATATCTCTGCTTTCTTTATCTACATCTCAGTAAATGAAATACACCTTCAATTTGTGTTTGTCTCATTATTCTAGTAATCTCTCCTTCTGCGCTTGGATTTCTTTTCCTCCAACTCAGCCAATAAACTACCTTTTCTTTCAAATCCTGCATCAACACTTACATTGCTTAGGTAATTTCCCCCTCACTTTTCCTAGTCCCCTGTAGTTCCTATAAACATTAAAAGACACTGTTATTTCTTTCCCATGAAGGAATAATCAGAGAAAACTAAACAGAAAAACTTTATTGCCATTGAACAGAAACCTCCTCTGGGATCCCAGAGCATTTGCAGTCTCCAGCTTTTGAATCTCAGTCTCTCAAGAGGAGGCAGAGTTGTCATACATATTATCGCACATACCATAGGGGCGCAGTATATATTACCTATAAGAAAATGTGGTCCAATAGCAATGAAGATTAAACATATAAGTGTAAACTTATACTTATATAAATATAAACACAAAGGGAAATTTATCGCTGGACTTCTCTTCCTGAACTGTTTCTTTATAGCTATCCCCCTATGGTTGGTTCTCCATCCCTCTCCACAAACATGTCTGTCTCCTGTCTCTGATCTCCTTTGCTTCTACCTCTGAAGCTTTGTGGGTTTTCTGAGGCAGCATCTTACTTCCTATGGTAGCCTTCAAAAACATTACTTTTAAAAATTTGGAAGTTATTTGAGGTCAAAAACCCGTGGTAGATTATAGCAATTCAAAGAAGATCCCATTAGTTCTCTTCTTGCTGACACTGACGGGAGAACTCATGTTGGTTTCGGCACCCTGATTTATTCTAGATACTGACTGGAAGACCTCCAAAGGTTCCTTCAAACCTGAATTGTGGCATGATCCTATGATTCTGTGAGTTACTGAGTGTCTTTCCCAGAGCTGGACAGTGCTTCACAACCAGCAATTGTAATGCAAGCAAACACCTCCTGAACCTTTTTGAAATTAGATCTGGTATTTCAAATTATCTTATATCTGATGATTGTTGTAGCACACTAGAGTGATTTCCTGGCTACAGACCAGTTAAAAAGATGTGAGGGACTACTTTGGAGTGGTGGAAGCTCACCCCAGCTTGAAAGAGGTTGATCATTATCGTTTGGATCTCTCTATCTTCCACCTCATCTGGCCCACTACCTTAGATCATGGAGGAGAACTCTTTTTGGAAGCCAATGGTAAATCACCCACTAACTTTATTAAAGCACCTCTGGATGTTCAAGAGCAAGAGAGTTATGCTTTTATATAATTTGGTAGCCAAAGTCATTGATTGAAGCCCTCATAATTTCTTTCTCCAAATATTTTATTTTTATAAAGCCAACAGCAGAGTGATGGTACACAACACTGCAGCTCACAGAAGACATTGTCATTTCCATCAGGTGCTGTTAAAAGTGTCACTTTAACATTTCAGTTCAACATCTAGTATAGGAGCTAATCTTCTGGCAATACAGTGTCACAGATGACCTTTAAATTGTGACAAGCAAGAAATTCTACCATCCTTTACAATTTTCTTCCATCACTGTTCCCTCTCTTTGAATCAGAATGAAGCTAGCAAAACACTCCATTCACTTGTATTTTAAACCTTTATGATTGCTTCTTTTCTGCAGGGAGAAAACTGGATAACAGTCAAATTAATCAAATCTCAAACTCATGTGTAGGAAGTTACTGAGACAGGGTAGAGTATCTAAGACAATGTTAACATTCACTTCTCCTGGCAAGGCCTTACTGGTCTCCCCAGAACTCTTCTTATCCTTTCATTTACACTTCCTCTTCTCACTCTTCCCCGGGCCTGTTTTCTCACTATGCAGAAAACTTTCCACCCTGGCCATCTTAAAACATTCCTTTCAACTCTACTTGCCTCTTCTGACTACTGCCCTTGCCCTATTCCTTGGCAAGAACTCAACTTCTCTATTTTCGTTGCATCTTGTTTTGAAGGTGGTTTCCATCTTTCACGCTGCTCTCTTAAGCTCTCCCTCACATCTAATCATTCAGTGGCCCCTCACAGACAGGCTGAGCATCTGTGTTACAGGAATATCCTTCCTGACCTGCTGTCTGCTCTGACATAATTTATCCTGTTATTCTTTGAAAAAGCTTGTCATCTTCTCGTTTCAGTAATTGTCTTCACTTGGATCTTCTTCCAGTCCCCAGTGAGACAGCCCATGTCTCTCACCAGCTGTCCTCTCTTGGTACACACTAAGACCTCAGCCTGTTTCTCTGACACCCCCTCATGGACATCCAGCTCT